TATATGCGAGTGGGTTGCATTCTCATGCACATCCATATCAGCTTGATGAGGCAAATTAGGCCGCCCTCGATAATGCTCGATGAAACGATATCTACTGTGACGTTGCGATGGATCGAGATGATAGAATCGGCCTATCTGCAATTGATCAGTTGGTTGTAGATTCAGTCATATTGGAAGGGAATGCAATTATGAGTTCGTGCCGAAACACTCGCGTTTCGCCGCCCTATGATAGTGGAATATAACACAGACATCTCACCAAGCTCTGCCCTGATGAGCACGGCGACAACTAGAGACCCAGCAACGACCCGAACGGAGCGTGCTATTTAGGGGCCGTGTTTGCTTAGGCCGCCATGGAAGTTGTGAATCTATGAACTCATACCGGAGGTGTTTGAGGAAGAAGAGTGTCATTCGCTGGTCGAGAACTACCCAGACAGTAGCTCACGTCGTTTGAAGCGAATGTCACCATTCTCAACCAAGTCAGTGCGAAGGCCAACATTTGCGTATTTCAACTTAAGATAACTCGGACTTGAAATTCCTCGTCCGAGTCATGCAGTAGCTGTAGCCGTGTTATCAATTTGCAGTCATTCCTCATCAATAGTGATGCTAGAGGTCCTCCTCCTACCACGAATTGACAACGAGAAACACATGAAACAATTCTGGATCCGGACGAGGAAGTGATCTACTGCCAGGGGCTTATCAAAATAGTAAATTCGACAACATTTCGAAGTGCCATCGCACCACCAGCGTACTATTTTTTAGTGACACAGTTTCCGTCTCCTAGCTTGTTGCCATTACCCCCCACCAGAGACTTCCGAACACGACACTCGCACTGGCAATATAAATAGTAATAATATTCGTACTCCTCTACTGACGTTGCTGTTGTTGTTGTTGAGCGTAGTATGCTGAGCATTTGGCAGCGTATTCAGCCATTTGTTTCTGATAGGTGGCGAGAGCTGCTGCGTACTCCTCCAACGATGATGTTGCCTTCACAGCCTGCCCAGCGTAGGGTGCCTGCCCACCTCCAGCAGCAGCAGCAGCAGTAGCTGGCTGAGCACTGGGCCCTGGCGTTGGTGTACGAGCCTGTTGTTGTTGCTGGCCATAGATACCAGTATACATTGGCATCGCAGTCTGCGGCCCACTACTGCTAGCAGCGCCACCATACACCCCCAGCCCTCCCGAAGACTGCACTGACTTGTACTGCTGTTGTTGCTGAGTGAGACCGCTACTATATTGGCTACCAGTCATATACTGTCCAGCATTGAGAGCAGTAGCGGCAGGAGGTAGTTGTTGAGCATACGAGGTAGAGGACACAGCCGCATGCCTACCAAATGGCTGAGTCGTACCACCACCAGTAGCAGCAGTGGTAGCATAGCTAGCCATGCCCGGTTGTTGCTTCACAGTTTGCTGACCGTAGTAGCTAGCAGCTGCCGACATCTGAGCAGCTCTAGCCGCCATATCCGCCACACTAGACTGTGGGTACGGCTGGGGTGGCAGAGGATTCCTCGACTGATAGGCGCCGCCAACTGCTGGTGTTGCTGTTGCCATCATCGTAGCACCTTGCTGCTGTTGCCACGGTCCTCCTGCTGTTGATGCTGGTGGGGCCGGCGATGACGACCTGGCATGCTATCAGCCAACAACTCCCAGATGCCACTCCTCACCCGTAAGATCCGAAACTTGCCCTATTCATTGACGCTCCCACTGCCGGCTGAGCAGTAGGCGTCTGGTGTTGAGGTACTGAGTGCATTGGCGGCCTATTACTACTAAGAAACACCCAATACAGTAAGCAGGGCAGACCGACCTCCCCTACATCTGTTGTTGTTGCTGTTGTTGGTTGTGATGAGCATACGACCGTTGTTGATATGGAGGTGCCGGACTAGGGTAGGGCCTAGCCACAGTAAAAGAGATGTCTACCCCAGCGTAAGAACTATACCACCTATGTGTTCCCTGCTGTTGTTGCTGTACTGGTTCCCTCCTCAACATTGAACCTCCCTGTGGCATCTGCTGCTGATGCTGCTGCTCATACGAGGCAGCGACTCTGACAACCAACGATTACTTCCAAGCACATCACAGTAGTCCCTCTCACCTGGGCCTCTTGTCCGGTCCTCCCCCAGTCTGCCCAAGTTGCCTCTTCTCACTGTAACTGGCATGACTAGCCATCCACCCCTAGGCCCAACCCAGTACCCCCACCTAGCCGCCACTGCTGACATCCTCACCGGCGCCGCCTTTATCCTGGCTTCTCTCTCACGCTCCTTTTCCTTCGCCAGCCTTTCCTTAATTTCCTTATCCTTTTCAAGTTGTTCCTTCATCCTAGCCTCCCTCTCCTTGGCCATCCGCTCAGCTTCCTCCTCCTCCCGCTTCGCTCGCTCCTTCGCATCGATCTCCGACCATACTTTCTGGCAGGAGTCATTCTTAGCGTCCTGAATCAAAGCAACATCCATAATTTCGTGGCGCGCGAAAATTACCATAGCAGAAGCATGCCATCCTCCTGTAAACTCAGCAGTGTCCTCTCCTCCCCATCCTGCCACTTTAGCCGTATACTGATACTCCTTATGCAGTTCATCGCCATCCTGGACCTAAAAAGCACACGATTAGACAACCACACCGCCCCAGCCCGACTAGACAAGGAACAATCAGCCATTAAGTAGCACCTCTCGCTGAGCCTCAGTGAAGGTGATGATCTCCTTCCCCTCATCTCCCCCTTCTTTAAGCACGTCCTTCAGCCTCGCCGTAGTAGCCGGTATCACGGAATTACCATAATTACTACCTGTCACAATAAAGTGAACATAGAAAAAAACAATATCATGAATAGTAAGAGTAAGAGAATATACAAAGGATCTCAACAGTGACAAATACTACAATTGATACAAGACCGACCAAGACTACTGCCCTAATGTGCCCTTCCAAAATGATAATAACACTACTGATAATGACGACGGAAAAACTACAAAGTGCTTATGACAAGTTGTCGAGCCCATCCAGAACTGATGCTCAAGGTAATGACAATGTTTCAAGAATCGGGTAAAAGGTAGGTATATCATGGGTAGAAAATTACAATGCCGTTATCTCTCATCGTGCGTTCCCAGAGAGCCCTATAGATGTTCCCTGCGATAGAATTCAGAGCTAAATGCAGATCATCCATTTTCCGTTTGGTATCGTCAATGCTATCTCCCATGTGTTTATTTTACCCGTAGGGCACTAGATTAGTGCCCTAAACCGTAGTTGGGCATAATAATCCATATTATGTCCATCATGAATCTTCCTTATTGGGGTCTTGGGCCTACCTTATCGCTCCTGCCCACATAGATCCCACCTGCACTAACGGACTCGATGAGGAAGAGGCAGTTGATGAAGACAGCATCACTGGGAACAACAATGAGGAGCCCGCTACGGCCAACGACAGTGGTCTGCTATACTAAGCTATTGGCCCCTTCCCATCATATTAATCATCCCATTTTAGTAAGAGTAACACCTGCGTCCGGACCACGCGCGGTTTTCGTGTGCACAATTCTACCGAGTGACCCTAGTGGACAGCCGAAATATGAGAGACTACTATGTAATATGCCAGCCTACGTCCGCCAGTCGGTGTAGTACACTTCTAGGATCAGTCATAGCCCTACGCCAAGCACTGCTAGTACCCAAGCATTCATCCTAGCGCATCCTATACAGACCTTATCAATGTTCTATTGGATGTGATCATACTATGAGTGATCATACAAGTTATTGTTCATAAGAAAGGCATAGACGACGATTCAAGAGTTGTTATAAAAACAAAGAAGATGACCATAAGCCCAGATAGTATTATTATTACTGTTCTTTTCCAGTAGGTCATCCAATGGTATTCCCTTCAACGTTATAGCCGCATGTGCCGCTGCTTGGAGAGCTAGACGATAGTCCGACTGGTAACCACCATCAAAGTCGATCCTCCCACCCCCATTAGGCTGCTGATACCACCATACAACACAACGATAGGGGAGACCCTGAGGGGCAGCAGCCACACATACTGACGACCCCAGCTACCACCACCACCACGATGACCCTTTACCTTCTCCATCATCTCCCCTCTGTTCACCGAATAATCATCCACTTCGAGCTGAATACCATGTTGCTGCAAATATCTAGACAAAAAGTATCAAAATCTTAGCGGAGCGAAGTTATTCCGAGTACTCTTCCAATGCCTTCTTAAAATCAATGGTATAGAGGAGCACTGAGGCAGCCCTGAGTTCCTTCCTCTTAGCATCAGCCTTAAGCGCAACACGTCGCCTCTCCTCGTCATTGAAATGAGCGTCACCACCAGAGGTTGGCATTCTATACTGCATCGGTGGAGGCACCGGTACTGGCTGAGTTCTGAGGGCAAAACTTTTCACGCGCCACGAAATTTCGAAATCGTGCTACGGTAGGACACTGCGAAGATACGCGATGCGACTACTGCCGTTGTCCATCTCATATTCATCATAAGCAATAGGTCGTCGCGGTGGAGTCGTCACAGAGAAAGCCGGAGCCCCGAGCTCAGGGGGGAGGTACCTAACGCTACTAGTCTCTCATAGCCACTCCGACCAATACCATCTTACACTTGCATTGGTGGTTCATTGTGTATAACCTCTGATGACCTGGTACAGAGATATGCACCCTGGGAAAACGAGGTTCTTGTTTACCTTTTAGCGACTCCTGAAACACTTCGCTCCGCCTCAATCGACTCCACAGCTTCCCCCATATGAACATCACCATCAACAGACTTTTCACCTGAGATAAGATTCCTCATGGAGATCGAAAAGCATATCCTAGGTCCACCCATGCAAGATACGGATTAGGTCCGCGAACAGACCAACCCGAACTCACTTAAGTCAATAACAGCAGCTGGTTCCTCTCCAAGTGTCTTCATGCTCGCCGTTGGTTGATCCATTGCCAGAAAACAGCTACTATCAAGTCACCTCCTTATTCATTGCACTTGAACCACTAAGGCAGCCTCAAACAGTGTGGGGAAACAAACTTAGGTAGAAGCCCAACTTGGGTGCTGTATTTCAATACTATACCAACTGCGATTACTGATACAAAAAGCAGCAAAAACAAGAACTCATATGAGGGTGTTTTCATCATTGGAAAAACAATGAGCCCATGCACGAACGGTGCCTTGCTAGATTGAGAGACGCCTTGAACGTCAGACCTACTGAGGCCATAGCGTTTATCACATTGAGGAGAATAGAAGTGGACAGGACCGCATTGGACCCCACTGGCCTACGGTAGAATGGCCAGTTGTCCAGCTTGAACTCAATACTTCGACCATAGACCGAATCCTCTTTCAGAACGTCCTTCCAGACTTGAGGAGACTGTAGGGCTTCCCGTACTGCAGCAATAGCCGGGGATAAGGAGCGCTGATCAGTACTGGTGATTCTAATCTTATTCGGGGCATTGAACATAACACTAACAACGGGGTTTACTGGTCCCCTAATATCCTTACTGGCATTCTCTGAACGACGCCAGTAAATAACAGGCAACTTCCCCTCAACCACACCGGCTATCTCGAAATTCTGCTGCCACATCACTTGCAATATATTCGACAACAGCAACCTTGTGTCCACTCTAGACTTAAAGAACGCGTCGAAAGGGAAGCCCTTAAGGACCCACTCCTCCGCCTCCCCACATTCCTGTTGTCTCGAGCACCCTCTGGGCCAGCCCGCAGCTATAGCCCCCGAAATAGCCGATACCAAAAACTGGTCCAAACCTTGATGCGGCGGTCCAAACAACCTCACACGGTCCATCTGGTTAAAGCTAAGTCCCACATATTCCGCCCGATCGGCTTCTTGTGGCATCTTCTGGAATACCAACTTCGGTTTCAATCCGCGACTATCAGCCACTCTAACAGAGGCTGCTAGTCGATAACCGACTCTCTTCTCCAGCGAGACCAGTGCGCCCAATACAGCCTGCCTAGCCTGGACACCATCCGAGCCGAAACAAATCCAGGGAAGGGTCTCAAGGGAGAGATCGACACCATCAGGGGACTCCTTCACCTCATCAACGACCCAAGCCGTCTCTAAACCACTTCTAATAGCCGCTACCAGAGGCTCTCGAGCCTCGTGGGGCATACCGCTAGTCACTGCGGTGACGCCTGACCAACCCTGTAGAGCCAGACACAGATCTGGCAAAGGAGTGGTATCATTAGCGTAGGCCCTGAGGATCCACACCTTAAGGAAACCCAGCTTGCGATGGGATATATCAACATCAGAAACCATCCGGAATCCCGAACGCTGCACAGCCGCCAACAGACCCAACGTCAGCCTACTAGTCTCGAAGCGATCCCCTTTGAAATTCCACCAAGGGAATCCACTGAGCTTAAACTTGTGCACACCAGTAGAGTCTTTTAGGTTCTCATCCTTCTGTATGCCCTCAGCCCAACAGCTATTTATGGCGTGTCTTACCGCGTCGACCAGATGCTGGGGTCCTCGTTGAACATAAATCTTATCGTAGCCCAGTATGGCTATACTACAGAAGCCTGCTGAAGTTGGCACGAAGGGATAGGCCTCTTGGAATTCCACCTTGAACACCATTTATATAGGAACAGTACTATGAAACTGATACGATGATGAGAGACCACCCAAGGCGTACGAATAGCGAAAACCGCCACTACAAAGTCGAATTTTCAAGATGCTCGGCAACATCAACACGTTAGCAATGTAGCTTGCTTGACAACCAAAGATTAGAGCATTCTATGCCCATCACCGTTTCCCGAGCATACCAGACACTACTATTTTATGATAGACCATTTCGCTGAGAAACCGCAACCTATGAACGTGAGCTCAACGAATAGAGGACAATATGGCTACAACCCCTCACCAACACAACGAGGTCGTCCATATCAAAGACAAAACTTTAAATGGAATATCAAAGATGTAATATCAAAACTGTATCGACCAAAGACTGCCCTTTCCCTCCACAGAAGCATAAGGCAGTGACTCACTTCCTTGTGAAATAAAGGGAAGAGAGTTCCTCCCTGTACTTACTGTTATCGGTGAAGACACATAGGCTCGAGAGGTCCAGTGATGTCTTCAAGTGCCACCCCAACTCGGCCATAATGTTGACAACAGTGAGCAGAACAGCTGTCGCGTACATAGTGGTCTTAGGCCCAGGCATCCACGTGTGGAAGGGAGACTTAACCAGCTGGAACTGAGCTGACCTGCCGTAACTGCCCAGGTCTTGGACCGCCTCGATAGGGAACTCTGGTGGGCAAAAAGCCATGCGAATCCTAGGCTGTAACTCTGCAACCAGAGCGTCGTCGGGGGAACATATCCTAACCTTATCGATGTTATTAAAGGATATACAGAGGACCGGTTCCTCTGCCTTCCTCATCGCTCCGCTAGGCTTACGGAAAATCATAAAGGAGGTCTCGGCAAGCCTACCAGTGAAGGCAACCTTGGGCATGAGTTCAAATCCCAGCGACCACATCTTTTGCAGTATTTTCCCCATTAAAATATTCACCTCAACCATATCTTCGTACTGCGTCTCCCAAGGGTGACCATTCAGTTCCCATCCATAAGCATTATCACGACCTTCCTCCAACTTGATCCCACGGCTCCAACTCTGCCCAATAACCAACCCCAATTCCTGCTGTAAGAAGGGATCCAGGAATTCTCCTGGGCTCGGGAATATCCTTATAATACCGCCACCATCAAGATGCATACCCACATAGGTTCCCCTATCCTTCGGAGCATCAGGAGGTGGTATACGTAGCAGCAGGCTCGACTTACAGCCTAGGTTCATAGACAACATCAGACTCCTATAGTGCCTATACCCAGCCTTTCGTTCCAGTTCCGTAAGGACACCCAGAAGAGTCTGTCTAGCCGGGACTGTGCGGTTTTCACCAGCAGAGAAGGGGGAGCCAGCCAGCTGGAATTGATAAGCCCCACTGTAGTCGGTTTCACTGCTGATTTGCCATGAATTCACAATACCTTGCCTCACAGCCTCCTGAACCGTATACTGCTGATTAGGCTCTTCCTGAGGACTCATAACAACACGTAAGTCGTTTTTGTCATGAAGGCCGATGAGGATATCCCTCCGGGGACTGCGAACTGACATCTGATCAATTTTATGAAGTACCCAAACTTGCACGAAAAATGGCCTGGACATATCAATATCATCTAAAATACCCCAACCAGCTTCCCTCAAGCTCTCCACGATGTTCATAGCATATCTTCTCACATCCACTGTGCTCTGCCCATGGGCCGCCCAGATCCACTTATTGAATTCAAATTCGTGCAAGCCATCAGCCTTACTACATTTCTTATCCTTTTTAATGAGACTCTTCTCGACAGCTCTCCGAACAGCCTCCAAGACCTCTTCTGGACACTTATACGCATATATACGACTATTATGGGCGAGGACCAGAGCTGAGAAGCATTGGGAAGTAGGAGTGTTGGGCTGGGGATCATGGAATCCTTTAACCCCACCGAAACCGATGCGGAGTTGGTTGAGTTGACGCGTGTCGATGCCGAAGATCGACACGCCCACGGGAGAACTGTTGCCCATTTAAGACGGTAATAGTATCCTGTAGATCATCGGAGACAAAACCTACCCATACAAACCAACGAAACACGAATCATTTTAGTTCGAATTTGAACACTTAGAAGAGTCGAATTAAAGTGCCTCAAGAATGCACTCCGTGAATACCGTATCTTACCATAAGGGCCATCAGATACGTGTGTGCGTAAAATACATAGCAGCAGCATCCAGCTTGGACTGGCTATTATCGGTGCCGACCTGCTTCCTTGACACGTCGAGCGAAGTCCTCAGAATCCATCCCTGTCGATACAGGACATCCAATAAGGCCAAAAGCACAGTACCGCAATACAAAGTATTATGGGCATTAGTATGTGTACAGAAGGGACGACCATCCAGCTTCATCTGCAAGGATCGGCCGTAGCGACCGAAACGCTTGACAGGGTCAGCAGATAGAGCCGGTCTCGTCATAGCATTCCGCACAAACCCCTCGAGGTTATCTACCACCGCCTCGTCCGTGCACGTTATCCTGATATCGTCAGTATCATGTAGGGAGACCCCCAGCACGGGCTCGTTAGGAGGCAGAGGAACATTGCCTTGTCGAGGTCTTCTGAATACCATTAAGGACATATCGGCCAGCTTGCCATTGCAGTCAATCTTAGGCGAAAGTTCGAATCCCAGCGACCACATCCCCTTCAACATCCTCCCCACCAAGATCCTCGAATCGACCAAATCGGTACCATGAGCATCCCAGGGCAACCCGGCTAGCTCCCATTCATAAGCCCCGTCATACACCCTCTCCTGCTGAATACCCTTAGGCCAGGCTTCCACTATCGCACTGCGGAGAGTATCTTCCACAGTCTCATCCAGAGAGTCCCATGGGGGGCTTATCAAACGTACGACATTTTTATCATTCAGACTGACACCAACGTAGGTCACCTCGCCATGCTTGCTAGCGTCGTCATGATATCGGAAGATGATACTGGATTTACCCGACGTAGCCGCCGACAAGTTCAACGACTTCGCCATGCGATAACCCGTAGCCTTCTCTATCTGGGCGCACATCGCTACCAGCATCCTCCTAACTTTCACAGAATCCTCGACTTTAGTCCCCATGCAGCCAAATGGCCATCCATCCAATACAAACTCATGAGCACCGCCATACTTTCCTTCCTTGACGATTTCCCAGGAAGATTCAATACCGAGTCGAACAGCTTCAGTAATCGCATGTACACGACCAGGCTCATCATCACATGTGATACGAATGCTATCACCGCCATGCAGACCCACCAGGAAATCTTTATGACGAGGCCTCTCAATATCAGAGTCACTACGCCTCAAAACTAACATTCGAAGATACCCCGACCTAGACATGTCCACGTCTTCAAGGATCTCCCAGCGCACTGCATCTAGCTCCTCTATCAATCTTAATACCATCCGGCGGACTTCTACCGTCTTCTGGCCATTGGACATCCACAACCAACTGTCGAGCTTGAACTTATACAAGCCCTTAGCCTTGGTGGAAGGCCCATCTCCCCTCAAATGCTCCTTTCCCAAGGCATTCCGGACGGCTTGTTTAACCTCTTCCGGACACTTCAAAGTATACAGTGCTTTGAAACCACACAGAGCAATGACACAAAGGCCCTGAGAGGTAGTCCTGTCCGGGGACGGTTCGTACAGCCCCTTCAAGCCGCCGCAACAGACCGAACCCATGTAACAAAAATTAACTACAACCAATGAAATAAAGCCCGTCGTCGAACACTAGAGGAATGCTATAGAAAAGACAGTTCCAGAATCTGATAAGACTAGCCCCAACGATGAAGCAGATACAGTCAGATGAATAAGAATAAGAAGTTAACTAGGAGGCGCCCATTTGAAGGGGCACTCCCCCAAGAGGCGTACTGCGTCCTGGTTTAATTAGGACGATCCTCCTTACTCCAATGCCCCATCTCATCCGATACGTATTCCTCTAGGTGGGGCAACTATGCCACCCCAATATGCACATCGGCACAATCAATTTGTTCGAGTAAGGCAACTATGCCCTCATATAGGTCTCAATAGATTCAATTCCTCGAGGCGGGGCATCCTTATTACCCCAACATATGCCTCAGTGCGATTATTCCCTTCAAGCGGGGCAACTATGCCACCCCAAGATATTACTCAGTGCAATTAATTCCGCAACCTCACAGCATAAGACGACCCGAACGATTCTCCCCACCGGAGCAAGGCCAATCTCGACTAACAGTAGAGATCAATTTCGCTATTAGTATAGCCAATCTTACTTGGGGCAGATATGCCATACCGCGACTAGAACGAACAGCTGATCTTAGGCTGGCTCATGTCGATACCGGAGAGTCGGCGAGAGTTTCCATAGGTGAAGGAATACTGAGCTGGACTTGCCAAATGCAGTATATTCATCCGAACTAACGAAACACGCTTCAAGCTGCTGCATTAATATGGACATCTATAAATTCATTGCCCGCCATCACATGAAATCACAGGGATTCAATGCCTGTCACACCAAAGGGAACACTAGGTACGAGCTTTCGTGAAATACATGGTAGCAGTATCAAGCTTATACTGCTTCTTATCATCAGCATAGTACTTCCTAGATACGTCAGGCGCTGTCCTCAAGACCCATCCTTGCTGATACAGAAGATCAACTAAAGCCAATAGGACAGTACCACAGTAGAGAGCATTATGGGAATTAGTGCACGTATGGAAGGGGCAGCCATTCAACTTCATCTGCAAGGATCGGCCGTAGCGACCGAAACGCTTGACAGGGTCAGCAGATAGAGCCGGTCTCATCATAGCATTCCGCACAAACCCCTCGAGGTTATCTACCACCGTCTCGTCCGTGCACGTTATCCTGATATCGTCAGTATCATGTAGAGAGACCCCCAGCACGGGCTCGTTAGGAGGCAGAGGAACATTGCCTTGTCGAGGCCTTCTGAATACCATTAAGGACATATCGGCTAGCTTACCACTGCAGTCAATTTTAGGCAGGAGTTCGAATCCCAGCGACCACATCCCCTTCAACATTCTCCCAACCAAGATTCTCGAATCGACAGTATCAGTGCCATATGCATCCCAGGGCCGCCCAGACAGTTTCCATTCATAAGCCTCGCCGTACATCCTCTCTTTCTGGATGCCCTTGGGCCAGGCTTCCACAATCGCCTTGCGGAGGGTATCTTTTATAGTCTCGTCCACAGAGTCCCATGGCGGGCTTATCAACCGCACATCATCTATGTCATTCAGGCTGAGACCAACGTAGGTAACTTCACCGCAATCCCTCGAGTCCTCATAATACCGAAAGATCATACTTGACTTGCTTGCCTGGCCTGCCGATAAGTTTAACGACTTCGCCAAGCGATAGCCCGTAGCCTTCTCTATCTGAGCGCACATCGCCACCAGCATCCTCCTGATCTTGACAGAATCCTCGCCGTTCGCGCCCAGCGTTCCGAAAGGTCGTTTATTCAACACAAACTGATGAGCTCCGCCATACTCGCTTTCTCTGGAAATCTTCCAAGACGATTCAATACCGAGCCGAGCAGCTTCAGTAATCGCATGCACTCGGGTAGGCTCATCATCACATATAAAACGGAGATCGTCACTACCATGTAGGCCAACCAGGAAGTTCTTGCGGCGACCCCTCTCGAAATCATCGTCACTGCGCCTCAAAATTAACATTTGGAGGTACCCGGATCTGGACATGTCCACGCTCTCAACGATCTCCCAGCGAACTTTTTCCAACTCTTCTATCAAGCTCAATACCACCCTGCGGACCTCCACAGTCTTTACCCCATTAGCCATCCACAGCCAGCCCCCCAGCTTGAACTTGTACAGGCCCTTAGCTTTAATGGACGGCCCATCACTCTTCAGATGCTTTCTCCCGAGAGCGTTCCGAACCGCTTGTTTGACCTCTTCCGGACACTTTAGAGTGTAGAGTGCCCCTAGACCACAGAGGGCAATCGCACAAAGACCCTGAGGGGTAGTCTTGTCCGGTTGGGGCTCGTACAGCCCTTCCAGACCGCTGCAACAGACGCAACCCATTCAATGAGAAATAACTACATGCGATAGAACAGGACCTCTTGCTAAACACTGAACGAATGTATCACTGTTTCATGATGTAAAAGAATAAAGTGAAACCTACACGGGGCACGAACGAGGTGTACCCAGGTTACTAAGACAATACAAGGTTGAAAAATTCACGCGGAATGCGCTTTGAGAAAGTATAACGACGATAGGTCCTGCTTCTCAGTTTCATTAGGACGATCCTTCCGAGTCCGATGCCTCACTTTACCCGATATGTCAAGAGATGCCTTCACCTCCCAGCCCAACTCATTCAAAGCATCTACTATAGTCAGGAGAATCAACCCGGCAGCCAGAGCGGTTCGAGAGCTAACTATGCCTTGAAACGGCAATCCATATAACTCTAGCTCAAATGATCTACCGTACCAACGCGAACTTTGGACCACATCTACTGACAAGCTGGGAGGGGCCAAGCTTGCACGCACGCGCGAGGATACTTCCTGGACCACCATAGAGTCGGTACTTGATAATCTGACTCGGTCTTGCCTGTGAAATGACAGGCAGAGGACTGGTGGAGGTGGGAGAATTCGTAGGGCCATCGGAGGCTTGCGAAATACCATGAAGGACAGGTCAGCGATTTTCCCGCTGCAATCGACTCCAGACCTGAGTTCGAATCCCAGTGAATACATTATTCCGATTATTCTCCCCACCAATACTCTAGCATCAACTGTATCGATACCATCAGCCAGCCATGGATATCCTTTCAGCTTCCACTCATAACTACCTCCATACATACCCTGCCTCTGGATACCTCTGGGCCACGCTTCAACAATAGCTCGACCGATTTCGTCACGCGCCACGAAATCCATCTCTTGGCCAGGGGCCATAACCAGCCTTATATCATCCCCATCATTAAGACTCACCCCCAGGTAGCTTCCTAGCCTTCTACTACGAGGGTCACTACCGTTATCAGATAGAGTCTTGAATACCAAACTAGCCTGAGATCCCTTACGAGTCGATAATATAAATGAATTGTGTAAAATATACCCTTGAGCCCGCTCGAGCTGGTCACATATTCCAAGTACCATCTCTCGGACTGCTACCGTGGATTCCCCACTAGCACAGAAAGGGTTACCCGACAACTTGAATTCGTACGAACCACCATACTCAGACTCTTTGGATATTTTCCATGCCCTCGAAATACCCTCCCGAATCGCATCTTGGACTGCATTAACTCTAGTACCGTCATCTATGAGTAACATCCTCACATCATCAGTATCATGAAAGCCCACCATAAGATGCCTTCGTGGCGCTGACCCAGAACGCCGTCTCAAAACCCATCCCCGCAAGAACCCAGAGCGAGACAAGTCGACCTCGACTGCGACCTCCCAGCCAACTTCCTCAATTGCCGCAAGAATATTCATAACAACCATACGAGTCTTCATAGTGTCAGTCCCGCTGCTCAACCACAACCATCTCGTTAAAGTGAATTTTTGTAGCCCTGTCGCCTTAGCTGAGAGCCCATCCCTTTTGATAGCTCCAGGACCCAACGCTCCCCTTATAGCTGTCACTACCTCCTGTGGGCATTTCAGGGTGTATATATGATCTTGGTCTGATAGGAGTACAAGACTTAAGTCTTGAGGAGTCGGGAGGAAAGGTGTATCCACCGATAGTGAGGAAAGGACACTATTACCCATGACTAGCGAATACCTGATAAACGTACGTAGAGACCCCATCCCTCAACGCGACCTCTTCGGAAAGTGACCAAGTTATGGTATGGGAGCTACAACTGTGAGTTGAATCCCCACATCTCACGTCATTCACATAATGAGCACCGGAAGATAAGTCCAACCTCAATAAACTTCCCCACTACATGTAAAACTTAGATGTGTAGTAGACCCTTCTTAGTCGCTCTACCACTACCTCAGAGGACCCCCTCCTACCTCCTCAATGGTGTCAAGAATCATGAAGTCGCCTCTCACTGGCATCACATTCGAAAGAGAGTTCGTCCCTGGTAGTTTTACCCCCAAAAAACGAATCATAATATTCCTCAATATGGTACCTCCACTGCTCCTCGAGACTCTACTCTACCCACTACAGTGAGCTCAGACCTCTCCCCTAGTAGTAGTAATACCATCGAGTCTCCTCTTTATAAATTGTCAATCCACAGGGGCTGTTCAATCGAGTGACGAGACACTCAGAAAGAGCATTCTCGCTCGCCCCAAAAATGTCCGTCAAGGCGTTGCATAGTAGAGGCATTTTTGGGGATACTATGCGTGTACCTCGCATACCACTTTGGTTAAAAGCACCATTCATACTGTTATGGCATGTAGGAGATTCATATCTGAAAGCCGCACCCGGAGGTCTCTTTTTTCAGATTCCTAGTCGGATTGGATATCAAGTGGGAAGGTGTTTCGATTTATCAATTAAATTGGTGGGACCAGCCTTGGTGAGGAATATCTTTCTAATCGTAGGAGGGCTATGTTGACCTCAAGATACTTCTGGCGTTCTCCCTATACGGTTTTTGTACCTACACCTACTTCGCGGTAATCGTCTACTATTACAATACAGCTTGGGTCTGGTTAGGGGCTACGGCCATTGGCCTCTTCCTGCTAATCAATATGATATACAACTATGTCAAGGCAGTCAATTTTACAGTTTTTCTATCAGAATGTGTACACCTTGTTTCAGGCCGCGGGGACCTCTCCTGGAGTGCCCCCAGTGTGCGATCCCGAGGCCCCATCCGGGAGCGAGAACGGTAGTTTGAGGAGTCTCGAGTGAAATGGGCAGTTGTGTCTCCTCAGATGTCGAAGAGCTTGCCCTTAGGAATGCATTACAGCTACGGTTGGCCAAGAATGGCAGAGTCTATCAAGGATATGCTAATAATGACAGTTCTGGTAGGTCTTGGGGGAGTTACTTCTAATGCGACATTTCAGTTGGGCCTCAAAGGTTCGTGCTGGGGTGTTCATCTTCGTCGTTTTGTTTTCTTTACCTGAATCCATCTCCTCACGAGGAAAAAGAGCGGCACACATGACTTAAATCTGCTTCAGTGCTTATGCGGTTCCCATCATCAGTTATCGCTTCGTCTCAACACGTGATGATCTCAGATGATGACGGCCCAGCAAAGCCCCCTCCACCCTCCTCTCTGACGGCTCCCTTTCCGCTGTGTCGGAAGTGCAACCGGTAGTTGCGGGTGGGGCACCCTGTTGTACTCGAGGTGTGGTATCATCAAGTAGCGAGTAGTATTACGTATATGAATAGTACAATGAGGCGGAAGGCATGCCTGTTATCGATTGCTAGTGTGTGTGATCAATTATGTCGTGGCACGGCGCGGTAGGCACTCTTTCTTTAGATATAAACCGGCCCGAGCCCACCACTGTTCAGTATGTAAAGTATGCGTACTGAAGATGGACCATCACTGCCCATGGCTGAACAATTGTGTAGGGCATCGGAATTACAAGTAGGTGGATGTTATGATTGGGAGTATGTGGAGAATACATTTATTCTCTGATACCCATTTTGGATAGTGAGTGATCGTGAAGGACATGCTGTGGTAAAATCATCGTCTTGGTGGGTTTATTTTCCCAAGGGTAGCTGTTGATCACATGAGTATGATACCGATTCTAAGACGAGATCTAATATCATGTATTCGGAGATCACGACTACATACATTTCAATTTCTCACCTCTTCTTCTTCTTCTTGCGCAGCACCCCTTCGATCAGGCGAGTAATAGCCAGTATAGAGGTATAGCTGCTGACTGAGCCCTGGTACGAACCGATAGATAGTGTGTTACACGGCAGAAAGTTCGATAAATTTCTCACTAATATGCCAGTATGTTATATAACTGCAATACATAATATTACACGGATGTATTACGTGTATTACGTGTATTACGTAGTACGTTAATGTTACAGTACTATGCCAATTGCATATCATATATTCGATCTCATACCCCCCCAAAGATACTGTGATCCTTTTATATATCGTGTCCTCCCCACCAAGGTACTTTTACCTCTTCCTACTCTACCTAGAGTTATGCTGCCTTTTTGTCATTCTGCTGTTCTTCGACCCTTTCAATGCGGCGATGTTCCCAGCACGAGGAGCTCCCCGATGGGACATCTCCATTGGCTATAAACAAGTAATAATTTTGTGGCGCGCGAAATGATTCCAGGCTCTTCCTCTTTAGGCAGTAGCTATGTCCTTCGTTATATGTCTAGCGATAGCCATTGCGGTTGGTACTCTCCTCGGCTTTCACACTTACTTGGTGTTAACCAACCAGACTACGATAGATTTCCAGTCCAACGTACAGGAGGCTCGACTGGCAAAGCAGCAGGGGACACTTTTCATGTAATATGGCGAGTTATGGTAAGAGCAGCTCATCGTGGTCGGTTGCAGTAACCCTTTCAACCTTGGGCGGTCCAGAAATTTTCACCAAGTATTTGGAGACTATACTTTTTGTTCATTCCGGTGGATGATACCGTGGGCTAATTCGAAGGTGAGTTGTCACGCGCCACGAAATTATGAAGATTTGTTATTTTCAGCCGGCCCCGAACTGTGATGGCTACATCTGGCCGACCATTGGTGCTAAAGGACCTCCGCGAGGAGACAACCGCAGAAGGGCTCATCGTCACAACAACATTCCCCCGGTTTCTGATAACCTTGCAGAGTGAGTTTACCCGTACATATGACACAGTTTACTTCCCCTACGTGTTGCGTATGTAATCGACACTCTTATCGGGGATGTGGTGGTAGTAGTTATCAATAGTAGTGATGTCCATCTCTGCCCTATCAGCTATTAAGAGGTTATGAAGGTAGTTCGATATAGGACGAACTCAAGCAAGTCTACCAGCGAGCAAGGTAGTGATAGTTCCTATCAGCGAATGTCTGGGGGGCATCTGAAGAGGCGGAGCGATGCTGTTTGGTTTTTATGACACCCGAGATGTGGATCTCATCAGATGTAGGTGGTGTATAAGGGTGCGTACCACTCCTTTTGTACATCGTCCGCCAGGTATGGTGGCAGCTGGACTACACCTACTATCGTCGTTTGGTAAGAGGCACTCTAAAGTGTCCTCCTCTGCTCTCCACGAGATACTCCCTGCAGAGCTCAGCCATCATTATGTGATTGATGACTATTCCAGCACTAGACGCGAACACCGACTCGTTACTGTGTCACACAGAGCTTACAATCCTAGGTGGAGGATATCAAGGACTCGCAGTAGAATGATGCGGCTGTTCTGAGAAGGCTTATGGGGACTAGCAGTTAAGAGCAGGAGGAGCTCGAAGGCGGCCATCGGATGATCCATACGTACATGTAGCGTGTCGGGTTCGGTGATCATTGCTGTTGCGTTGTCTATATGGGAGTAGGGTCACTCGAGGTGCGAAGTGGGATAGAAACTCGTCCGCACTAGGGACGTTGGTGTGATCGATCTATGCACTATCAGCACCCGAGGTGTGATTGCTGCTGCAGTTAATGGTGTAATTGTTGTAAATTGAGTAACCTCCGGAAAGAATGGCCGCGGACCAGAATCAGTCTGCAAATACCCCCGACCCCTTCCCCGATGGATGAGGTCAATACAGTGTTGGAAAGGATGAAGGCCAGATGTGACAGTAGAGGGTATAGAGTGAGTGGAACCATACCTGAGAACACTACCTGGGAGGGAATAGCACAGCTACTGCGGCCGGGTGGACAGCGACGAACATCCACGCAAATGGATAAGCATCGAACGGCGGCTCGGTTTCCACCACAGAGATCCCATCACTCGGTAGGTCGTAGTAAAGTGTCGTCGTAGAGTATCGATTTAGGGGTCGTGGCCACGGAATAGGCCTGAAGAGGCAGCATACGGCATCATGATGGACACCAGAGAGCGCATCATGTCCCTCGAGGCTAATGATCCCTCGGCAGAAGGTGAATGCCGCTTCATGTGTTGCTTGTCGTCGTCGATATATGATTCCCAGGTGGTCAGTACCGTTCAACGTACCTCCAGGTCGCCAAGGCTCATCAGGAGCTACTACATACACTGCAAGGCTTCCATACTCGCAGTAGACCGGCTGGTGTGCAGACTGGGACAGAGGCTACCACACCTCTACTCGAGATCACCGAGGAGCTAGGGGACCTCCCGAATGATATCGAGTTCAGCTTCAACGCTCCGCCCTCCTCGAGACGGGAGTATCCTCCTCGAAATCTATGGTCGAGGCAGGAGTCCGGTGACCAGAGTCCATGTTGTGGAGGAGCATCAAGCTCAGCTGGTCTCAGTGTTATTACAGCCACTACTGAGGACCAATACGAGGGAGTGGCTGAAGCTTCGGTGGCCAATGCTCTTGTTGCTGACCTCTTGGCCAACACTATGTCTACTCTTACTCCAATTGACGAGAATATCCAGGATCGATCTACCAGTGACGGAGTGGAGGCCCTCTCAGAAGAAGGAACCATTCTCAATGGTGAAGGAGCTTCTAATATAAAAACACGAGGAGTGCAAGGTATATCTGAGAGCCCCCATGAATACGATAATGAAGATAGTACGCAGCCGCCTGAGGGAGGGGTGGCCGGTGGGACTCCCGTCTCGGAGGAGGGGTTGAGACTGAAGGAGCTCGGTCGAGGGCGGACCAGAGAGGACGTGGAAGGGGCCTCAGCAAGGGGTGGGGGAATAACGACTGGAGAAGAGGATGATCATCTGTTGAATGGCTGTTTGATGGCTGTGGGTGGAGGGGACGAGCCAAGAGAGGATAATCACTTCGATGAGGGAGGGATGATGCGAGGCTTCGATCACGATAGGGAGATTGCCTTGGCGGTGTTGGCTGAACATTATGACCGTATCGATAAGGCTCGACCAGTGGGCGAAGATCAAATCGGTGATGGTGTAGCGATGACAATTGGGGAATATCATCCAGACACGGTCTTGTTCGAGGCAGAGGATCGAGTAGTAGCCAGAGAGTTGGCATCCGAGGAGGACCATCTCGCAGGTGAATCCGTCCGTTATGGGAATCGACTCGGCCTCCCAACGGATCAACAAGCACTGGATCCTCCTCAAGGCCCAATGGATACCGAAAGCATCCAAACCCAGCCTGTTACGGAGGCCCTAACAGTTAACACGAATGATAATAATACGGATTCCTCGTCCTCTAGGGTGGGAATGATGATGATGAGCACTGAGGTCGCCGCAAATGGGTGGGGGGAGACGGGCAGAAGACCAGTTGCCAAGGGCCTCGGTATAGCAGAGAAGTTCGACAAACTAGTTCAACAGGCCAGAGCCAACACGCGGTCACCACTACGCACTGGAGGGGGAGGAGGAAGAGGAAGGGACATACCAGGGACAACCAACTTTTACTTACCAAATTTCGTTCCGAGGGGACGAAAAACTGTCGAAGTTCGGGTATCGAAAAATCGGTTGCTGGCGAGTAGTGATAGCAAGCACAGGGATGTATTCGATGCAGATCCCTTTTGAGGGGACAACCATGTATCATGCAAAACATCATTTGTGAATAGCAGGCTTTTGGTTTCAGTTCTATAAGGGGTGTATAGACGGAATGTAGGTACGCTTCCTTTGAATGCTCGTCCGGATTTCGAGGATCGAAACGGTTCAGAAAAAAATATACAAAAGTGAAAATTTTCGCCCTCGGTGACCGGAATAATACTAGGTGAAATTTCGTCTTCATCGTTGCACGTGGAGTTTATCACTTTCCCTGTCTCTTTTCCCCGGACTTTCATGCTGAACTACCTCTCCCATAACTGCGAGGCCCTTCATAACAGTGCTCCGCAATTTCCAATTTCCTATTTCGGATATGCGGTATCTCTCCTTGTACGTTTCCTTTGCCGTGTTGTCGAACCTAGTTGGCTTGAAGGTCCGCAACATCAGACTATTGTTAATGATGAAGGACTATTCGAAATGATGGAAATTAATATGAGGTTCTCATACAGGTTCCTATCAGCATCCACTTTACAGTAAACTCTCCACCTTGACATTCACGTACAGTTAACCTCTGGCATGCAGCTTAGTGTTGGTCCGGGAGTGTTTCGCTTCAGACGTACCATACGGGAAAAATGTGAGAATAAATATTCCCAATTTTCTGTCAAGTTACATCAATCGCTTTCCTCAACTGAGCTCAGGAGCTTCCTCACTGATACAACTTCACATATGGATTCAGCTAGAAGTGTACATGAAGCCTTCGAAATTTTATCAGAATTCACATAATATCACCAACACATGTGGTCGACCAAGTGCATACTCCCCAACTACACCTAAACTGTAGGAGGATTTGACAATGGTGTGGTATGGGCCAAATTGTTGATCATTTATAGGTTTTCCATTTGTATGATAGTAGTTGCAAGGGGGGATGGAAGGATTGTGCGATGTAGGGGGTGGGGGTATTTCGTGGCGCGTGTCGGTGATCACTAGTAGTTAGAGATGCGTGGATAAAAGCATCGAGTTAGAGTCTAATAGAATTCAAAATCGATATGTAATAACGAGGGTTGTTCACTAACGGAATCAGAATTCGCCACTTACAATTTCTGAATGGTATTCCCCTCAGGTTGCAGAGTTTTCGTATAGCAAAGCACAGGGTAATCGATCAGAATTCACCAAATGGTAGACTCCTATTCCGTGGAGCATGTAAGGTATCATTAGCGAACAGTCATAGGATCCTGCAGCGTGAACAGAGTCATGTAAGTGTGGTTCAGTTGGGGAAGAGGAGGAGAACTCAGTAGGGCATTGGGCTATCAACTCATATGAACACAATATAGTCTATATTCTGATCATATACAACATGGTTAATCATGGTAGCTTGACAAATGCCCTTGGGGGTACAGCGTTCCGCTCTTAGGAAGGTCTCTGTGCTGAGGCTGCTCTCGCGTGCGTGCGACTACTTAGGTCGTCGTCGCCCGAACACAATCGATCAGGCTATGTGTGTGCGTGCCCCATTGCTCATTGCTTGTGCTTTGGAAGCCTCACGGATTGCCCATTATTCTTTTCGGTCAAACTTATTGATTCATATGACATCGGTATCAGATATTATCACCCTCATTTCCTAATGAATGACTCCGAACCCTCAAATGATCCTGAGTTGTCACTGGGAAGAACCCAGGGTGTGATTTTTGCAAGTGCCAATTTCCATTCCTGAAATTTCCGAAGGAAATTTCGGAAAAATTTCCACGACCCTTGAATTTCCAGGAAATCTAACAAAAATGGCTATTTACTGATCTCTACGCACGTTTCGTTTATAAAAAAGCTCGTTCTGCATTAAGAATAGCTCTCCGCATAGATAGAGTATCGTAGTGATGCTCAGAACTGGTTGTTGTGCGTAAAAGCCCCAACGGCTGGAATCGATCATCAAGGCGAGCGCTTACAAGTCTTCGCATGGCGATTCATGGCAATTCACCTCGCTCCGTCGAGCGCATCTATTTTCTCGCTCGCCTGTAACGCTCGGAGATGCAACTGCAAAGTAATTCATACCATGATAAGTAATACGAGATATACTTTTGATCCCAAGCATTTCCATGTCGAGTTCATCATCCACTGGACCGCCACGTTCGTCGTGCGTCATGAGGTGCCACTTGAAACAACTTGAAGCAAGGTGAACTTGAACTTGAACTAAGTTCAAGTATTGAAGTTCAACTTGGGGTTACAGTAACCTAGTTACTTGGCAAGTAATACTTCGCTTCTGTACTACAGCACCTGTACTACAGCGCTAGGAGGCCAAGCTCAGCCCGAGTTTTCACCAGGTAATGTGGTCGGGGGTCGAAGACAGAGCTTCTCCTACGCGACGAAAGTGCCATTAAGAGATAGGCAATATAACAGGAAAGCCTTCAAAGACATGGATAAACCAGATTTCTTCGAGAAACTGAACAGAATTCGACCACCCAAAAACGAGGTCTTTCGAGAGCGAAAACCTGTCTCTCACAAAGCTGCTTTGACGGATCGTCAGTCATGATCGTGATTGATGCACCTACATCCCTTTCGAGTCATCATTGGCTCCCGAACTGAACGCGACACGCAATCGACAATGTAACGCATGGACCCACGAAAGGACTCTCCAACTCATGATCTTGCTTCTCTCGTACTTCCTCGATCCCGACTGCGCGCTAGCGCAGAAGCCCGGAAGCACCTTGGCGGAAATTTCCTGGAAATTCCGGAAATTTCCACCTTGAAATTTCCAAACACAGAACATCGTGCTGAATTTCCACTCACATCACACCCTGGAAGAACCATACTTGAGCCCCAAGACGCTACAGAGATTAGGAAATGGAGAACATCTCTTATTCTTGGTCCTGGTTTTAAATCATTCTCACTTGATTTCGACCCTAGCCTGATATCCTCGGCCCAGATGGATTATCTCCTGGCCAGGCTCTTGGAGCTCGAAGCCATACCCCTGAGAGGGGTTAGGGCATTCGTCTCTAACTGGGCCTCGGCCATGGTATCCAATGACGCGGGGGTTGAAGGCAGCGGGAGTCCAGCGGCTGCTCAGGCACCCTTGGACTTCGCAAGGGCGATCTTAAGCATGGTGCTTCATGCAGGGCTGGTACATGGGATGCCCAGTAGTCGCTGCTTTGGTTAGCGAGTGCTCTCGCGGTCATATCTACTAAGAGGAAGTACCGGTTGGTGCGTAGCATCGAGCTGGGCAACGATCGCGACTACTTCGACGCCCTATTCGAAGCCCTCATTGCTGACACTGCTATGGGGGGCGCAGGCTCGGCCACACATCGTTCACCTTCCATCGCAGGAGCAGTAAGTCCCACTGGCGATGGAGAACCATCGTCCACGGCTTCGCACTCCCGAAGGCAGGCTCCTCTGAACGTGTTCAAACTCCCACTTGAATATACAGAATTCGAAGGTCCGACGTCGGCCACACCCTACTCTGCCTTCAAGGGTGGTGTGCAGACGTCAATCAGGTTCTATGGTATCGATAACGAGCGAGACTGCATGCTCTTCCTCTTCCGGCACATCGGGAAGAGCTTGAGGTCCGAACTTATCACACATCTTGGGACAGCCCAACCGGCTCCGTCTGCTGTGTGGGGGTACCTCGACTCTCGGTTTCTCGAAACTGATACATCGGAGAAGGCCAGCGAACGCTGGGAGAGTCTCAAACAGAATACTGGCGAGAAGGTTGACGAATATTATGCCCGCATTAAGAGTGAATGGTTGCTCTTCTCTCGTGTGTCCGGCGTCACCTTACCCTTGCCATTTGTCTCTGCCAAGTTCGTTGGGGGACTGCTCCCTGAGATAAAGGCACCTCTAGAAACCAGCTGTGGACATCTGCTGTCTAAGCTGCCCTTAGAGAAGGCTCGGGACGCGGCCCTATATCATGAATCTAAACTCTCATCTAAATCGGATGGAAACGCCCGCAAGGCCCTCTCGAACAAGCGGATGCCTATGCCCCCCGGTCAGGCCCCCCAGTCGCATAATCCTGGAGCCAAGGAGGTCAAAGAACCCCTTGTGGGAAGGGACAATTCGGCTGGTGGAGGTAACTCGAAGGATGGCAAATCTGGATGCTCCTACTGTGCTACTCGAAGGTACAGAGGGGCGAATAAGCACGACGACGCGCGCTGCTGGAAGAACCCTGCGAACGCTCACTTGGTTCCGGACTGGTATCGTCAGCGCCAAGCTGAAGCTGCAGCAGCCAAGGCATCGAAAGGGCAAGGGGACGGGCAAGAGACCGTCCCAAAGGCCGTCCAATCGACGTTCATGGCACGCTCCGTTGACTCTGCTCATGAAGGCCTACGCGTCATCAAAGCTTCTGCTACCGGTTCATCCGGCCGAATTCTACCAGTAGAACTGCTGGTCGACTCTGGTTCGGATCTGACATTAATATCATCCTCGTCGGCGAGCATTATGGGCTTCAAAGTGACACCAGCTAGGGGGCTCAAGAAGCTCGAATCGGCTGGGTCGCTAGGCTCCATCTGCGTGATAGGACAGGCTCGGGTTCCGATAGTTGTCAA